CCCTAGCTCTGTCCCCCTGATGTACATATTCAGAGCTATGACTAAACCCTGTTATATATACTTAAGGCTTACTTGCTGATGCTTTGAGACCTGCCTTGGAGCTTGGGCAGGATTCTTCTGATTGTCAGTGTGGCTCTGTGGGTAGGCACGGGGTTGCTAACCACAGGGTCGGCAGTTCAGTCCCGCCAGCTACTCTGAGGGAGGAAGAGGAGGCCTTAACTACTGCCGTAAGGAAGCATCCTCGGAGACCCTGAGCAGGGCCACTAGACATTGGAATCAGCCAGCGGCAATGGTGGCCTTCCTTCGGCAGTCTCCGAAGAAGAGGCGGAAGGGTTGTCTGAGCTGCTTAGGCTCTTACGTGGGCAGTGTTGGGCCTGAGCCCGTCCAGACTAGTACACAGCAGAGGTGGAAAGACCATAGTTGGTGGTCACGATCTCCTTCTTCATGCACTTGGGTAGGTGGGGCTCAGAATGGACAGGACCCATGGCGCTTGCCCAGCAAGTTAGTGGTGAAGCCAAGCCTAGGGCCTTTGAATGGTTGTTGCATGTAGAAGGTTGTTTCTGTTCTAGAAGCACCAGCCTATCAGTAGGACTTCTAGTCACTTTTGGGTGCTGAGGGGCCTTTCAGTTGGTACAACCTTTAAGGGGACAGTTTTACAGTATCTACTAACATAGAAACCTTAGTAGTATAGTGGTTACATGTTGGGCTACTAACCTTAAGGTCAGTAGTTCAAAATCACCAGCCACTCCTTGAGAGAAAGAAGAGGATTTCTACTCCCATAAAGAGTTAGAGACTCGGAAATCCACAGGAGCAGTTCTGCTCTGTCCGATAGGGTTGCTGTAAATCAGAAGTCACTCAATGGCAGTGAGTTTGGGTCTGGGTTGTGTGTGTGTGTGTGTGTGTGTGTGTGTGTGTGTGTGTTTTGTGCTATTCACTTGGAAACTGTGCCTGACTGTTCCCACAGAGCCCATTCTGTGACTCACCGGCACAGAAAGAAGTACTTGTACTTCAAGGCCATTGATTGTAGCATTGTGGTAGTCGAGCCGCTGTCCTTCAACAGGAGATTACTTCAATCCTGTGTTATATCCACACTGTAGGATACGGTGGAGGAAGAATGAAGTAGTTTGTGTGCTAAAATAGTAAGCTCTCCTGGGCTATATTGCCAGACCCTATGACATTATATGCTGCCAATTTGGGGGAAGTTTAATTTTTTTTCTGTTTTCTAGGTGGGAGAAACATTGTATACTATACTGTTCACAAAGGCCCCTGGGGTATAGGATGTGTAGGAGGCTTTCTCTCTCCCCCTGTAAACAGTTGGTCTCGGAAACTCCCAGGGGCAGTTCTACCCTGCCCTATAAAGGTCGCTGTGAGTTGGCATCAGCTCAGTGGCAGTGAGCTTGTTTGGTTTCTTATTTTATTTAGAAATTGTTGTAAATAGTGTGTCTGTATTACTTTTACAACTGGATAAAAAAGCGCTTGAGAGAACAGGCCTGGTCCAGCGCGGGATTAGCCCACTGTGGCCCAGGGCCCACCTGTCTTGGTGTGGCCAGCAAGCTCAGGATGGCATCTGGGTTTGGAAAGGTTGTAACAATACCCTGCGAGAAGAATGTACAGCGGAGGCCGGTGATGCCTGCAGTGCCTGGTCCAGAGAGCGTTTGCAAGAGGACGAGGGCAGGGTGACTGTCCAATGGGTTTGGAGCTGGACTCGTCCCCTAACTGGGCTGGTCTCTGCTTCCTCCCCTCCCCTCCCGCAGGAGTTCAGGTTGACATCGACCTGCCCAACAAGAAGGTCTGCGTGGACTCGGAGCACAGTGTGGACACTCTGCTGGAGACCCTGAAGAAAACCGGGAAAACCGTGTCCTACCTTGGTCCCCAGTAGCACGGGCCTGGCCCCTGACCCACAGGATGGACCAAAGAGGGCAGGTGGGTGAGGCCCTCCATTTGCTGAATGAACCTGCTGCCCACACCCACAGCAAGCGGATACCCCAGCCGTGGGGAGCTTGAGTCACACAGGAGAGCATCCAGGGCTCTTCTCCACTCAGTGCCCGCCTGCTTTGGACTGGTGACATATTCATTATCACCTAAGGCCAGGCACCAGGTTAGGCAGCCCTGGTGGCCCTGAGCCAGTAGGCAAAGCAGTGTGTGCTGTCCGCCAGGTTCCCTGTGTGGCGGGAGGGCTGCCCTTTGTGATCAGCTAGGCTAGGTCCAAAGTGTATGACCCCTGAGCAGTGTGCTGACCTGTGTCCTGGGTACTGACCGGGGCTGAGAAGCCAGACCCTGCCCTTCTCAGTACTTGGAAGGGCTCTCTGTTCCTTGGACATGCCCTCGGCCTCTATGGGCACAGGGACAACTGTGAATCCATGCAGGGTGTGCCCTCAGCCCTCCCAGAACCGAGGGAGGCCAGCCTTCTTCCTCTGGCATTGAGACCGTCCATTGACTCAACATTCTCTGCCAGTGCACACAGTCATTGTCTCCGAATCCTCCCCGCCACACTCTCCCAGATGCCCCCACCGGATTGCATTGCTGGGGCAGCTGCTGTGGTCG